ATTTAATTAAATTAATTATCTTAATTAATTATTTTTTAATCTTCTATTTACCTTAATCTTGTTAAAAAAAATAAATCAAAAGTTATCTCCTTTATTTCAATTTTTCACAAAACTTTAATGTTCAAGCACTTTAGTCCAAAAGTTTCAAACCTTTTCAAATCAGTCCTCTATTTTTATTTTAATCAAACCAGTCTATTTAACTTTTATTTTTGCTTATTATGCATACATGTCTTTTATTTTGTCTATTTTAGTCCAAAAATTAAAAAAATGTTTCAATTTGGTCTATCCCTTTTTAGGTTTCCTTATTAAGACTTAAATATAAACATAATGAATAAGTTGAATTAAAACTCCCAATGTTAAAGTATGCAACCGTGTTTAAACAGAGGATTGTGAGGTGCGCATATGCCCTTCCTTACTCCTAACCGAACTCTCGAACCCCGATCTTTGCGCAGACCCGTTTTAGGTGACTTATCCACCATATAATTTGAATGAGTGGCGACTCCCTTTTCTTTTATATTTTTCAATACTTAATAACAATAATCTTAATTTTTCATTTATTTTGAAAAATCTTAAGTGGTCGTCAACAGAAAGCATTGGCTGAGATGCTTATTGTTGATGAGCTTCCATTTTTTTGTTGTTGAACATTCTAGATTTATAAAGTTCTGTTAAGTAGCTTGTCTAGTATTTAATATCCCTTTTCATAGGACTATCACAAGGGATATTTTAAGCATTGACTTTGAAATGAAAGATGATTTGAAAACATATTTTAAGAATGGAAACCAAAGGGTATCTTTAACAACTGATACATGGACATCATTGCAAAGGGTTTCTTATATGTGTGTGACTGTCATTGGATTGATGATAATTGGAAGTTGCAACAAAAAAAAAAAATTTTTGAGTTTTGTTCATGTTGATAGTCATAAAGGTGATGCTTTAGGTGACATGCTTGAGAGATGTCTCAGAGAGTGGGGGATAGATAAGGTCTATTGTGTTACTTTAGACAATGCTAGTGCGAATGATGTATTAGTTAGACATTTGAAAGGGCACTTGCAAAAGTGGGGAACTAGTATTCTTGGAGGGAAAGATTTACGCATGAGGTGTGCTACCCACATTATCAATTTGGTTGTTAATGATGGATTCAAAGAAATGCAACCATTTGTTACTGCTATTAGGGGTGCAGTATGGTATGTAAGGCAAATTCCAATGAGGCAAAAACTGTTCTTTGAATGTGCAAAGTTTGAGAAGATTGAATGCGAAAAAGGAATTATGTTACTCCATCAGACTAGTTCTGGGTTCGAGTCCCAGGCAACCCATTAGGATTATCCTATCGAAATAATATAGTAAGCTTCATATATATATAAATATATTATATGTATATCAACTCCGCATTTTCTTTTTAGTACCATATGAGTTAGAAAGAGGAAATATGATAAATAAAAAAATCATAAAAGAAATCTATATTTTCCATATTTTCTATTTGATATTGGTTATTGGTTGACATGGGTATATAAATCATGTTATACTGTTGAATAAAAAGTCCTCAATTTTCACTCGAAATGAAAATTTGTGTACTTGGGAGTCCATGATGATTAAATAAACTAAGATTTCACCATGACTGCAATTTTAGAGAGATGCGAAAGCGAAAGCCTATGGGGTTGCTTCTATCCCTAGACATTCCAACTAGATGGAATTCTTTGTACTTAATGTTAGAAGTTGCTGAAAAGTATGAGCTTGCATTCGATAGGTCAGTTGTAGTTATATTTCAATTTTTTAGTTTATTTTTAATGTTATTTCAATTTTTATTTTAATATAAATGTTATTCCCTTTGCTGCCTATAGTATCAATTTGATAATTTATGTTATTTTCCCTTGTTTTACCTCCTAGCTTTGCAAGAAGAGATGCTCACTATGAGGATACTTTAGATCATGCTATTCTAACTCATGAGGATTGGCGAATTGTAGAAAACTGGTGGATTTTTTGGGGCACTTCTACTGTGTGACCTTGAAGGTGTCAGGAAGTTGGTATGCAACTTCAAACCTTTATTTTCTAGAAATTTGTTCACTCGATGCATTGTTAAAAGAATGGGGGGAGTCTAGTGATATAGATTTGGCTATGATTGAAATGAAAATGAGGGAGAAGTTTGACAAATATTGGGAAACTCCAATTGAAATGAATAAGAACATATTTATTGGAATGGTGTTGGACCTTAGATAGAAATTAGAGTTTGTTCAGTTTATGTTGAAGGAAATACATGAAAAAGATGGTAAAACTAGACTAGGAAATAAGTATGGGCAGCTAGTGAAAGATGAGACTTATAAGCTATTTGAGGAGTATAAGAAAATGTTACGGGGAATGGGAATTGGCAATAGCAGTAGCAGTAACAAATCCTTTTCCAATGTTAATTCTTCTAGTGAGAATTTAGTTTCTAGTGTCATTAATTTTGGTTCAAGTCTCTCAACAAGTGTGGAAATGAATCCCTCACAAAAATGGCAAGAGAAAATGAAGATGAAATACAAGAAATATAAAAATGACAATGGGCTGCCAGTGAACAATCTGAATTAGATAAATACTTTGTAAAAGCTATTGAAGATAGGGATGTCAACGGGGCCCCGCGGGGCCGGGGACCCCTTCCCCATCCCCATCCCCGCGAATCACGGGGACGGGGATCCCCGCGGGGATTTTTGACGGGGGGCAGATTTTGCCCCCCGTCCCTGTTTCCCACGGGGAACGGGGATCCTCGCGGGGATCCCCATTCCCCACCAATTAACATCCCCCTCAACCCCAATCTCATATTAGGGTTGATGTTGAGGTTGAGGAGAAGAAGCAGTATGGATTGGATCTCTCAAATGGAATCAATGGCACTGCTCAGGAGGAGGATGATGATGCTGCTGCTGCCGACGGCTCTTACGTTTTTGTTAGCGGCAAGGATGCGGTTGAAGGCGGCGATCCGGTTGAGGCGGATCACGAAGCCAATGGGAATGGGACTAGGGAGTTGGAAATAGTCAATGGTGACCAAATTGATGGTAGTGGTGGTGGGGATCTTACTGTTCCTATTAAGGATCGAAACGGTGAGCCGTTTGTTTCCCAATCTGATGATCACCGCCATCCTGATAATGGAATTATGACTCAGAATGGCGAATCATCGATTCCCGAGGATGTTGTGGCACAGAATATTGTAGTGAAAGGGAGTCATGAGCCTGAATTTGAAGTTTTGGGTGTTGGGGATCGAGACCTTCAGGGGCAAGTCAAATCAAATTTGGGTTTAGGATTAGAAGAAAATAACGAATCTCAGATTGGGGTTGAGCAGCAGGCCCCGGTGGCGGTAGCAGCAGCAGCAGCAGGCTCCAGTGGCTGTAGCAGCAGCAGCAGCAGGCTCCAGTGGCGGTAGCAGCAGCAGCAGCAACAGGCTCCGGTGGCGGTAGCAGCAGCAGTAGCAGGCTCCGGTGGCGATAGCAGCAGCAACAGATGGGTCTGGTGGTGGCAGTCGGCAGCAGCAGCAGCAGAGCAGATGGCTTTGGCTGAACAACAGCAGCAGCAGCAGATGGGTCCGGTGGTGGCAACAGCAGATGGTCCGGCAGCAACAGCAGCAACAGCAGCAACAACAGGGAAACTGAAGGTGAGATGGACGTGAGAGATGTGTGAAGCGGCAGTTAAAGAGATTGAGTGATGGGAATTAAAATAAATTAGGGTTAAGGTTAAATGTAGAAGAATGGGTTGGGTTGGGTTGGGCTTGGGAGTTGGGTTGGGTTGAATGATATTAGGTTAAATTTAATTGTAATTGAATTAAATTTGAGTTTGGGTTTGGGTTTGAATTTGGGTTTGGGTTTGAGTTTAAAGAATAAATTAATTTTAAAATAAAAAAAAAAAATTTCAGGGATGGGGATCCCCGCGGGGCCCCACGGGGCGGGGAAAATTTCGCGGGGAGAAAATGATCCCCGTCCTCGCCCCGCGGGGAGGAATATTCCTCCTCGCCCCATCCCCGTGGCGGGGATCCCCGCGGGGCCCCGCAGGGAACGGGGAGAATTGCCATCCCTAATTGAAGAGGACAATCCAAAGCTAAACATTTTAGCTTGGTGGAAGCTGAACTCACCTAGGTTTCCTGTTCTTAGTGCAATGGCTAAGGATGTATTAGCTGTGCCAATATCAATTGTGGCCTCGGAGTCTTGTTTTAGCACCAATGGTCGTGTGCCTAATGCTTTTAGAAGCTCTTTAACACCAAGAATAGTTCAGGCTTTAATTTGTGCTCAAGATTGGTTGAAGCCTAAGGGAAATCTTGTATTTGATGAGGAAGATTTAGACAACTTATTAAATATTGAACAATGTATAATCACTTTTTTTTTTAAACTTGATTTATTATTTAATTGAGTGATTAAGTATTTATAATAATGGAACATATTCTGATTTTATTTTCATAATAGGTGTTGAGAAGCTTGGTTTGGAGGCAACTTTTTTGCGATGTTAGCATGAACAGGTTTGTTAAGTTATTTTTAGATTAGCTTAATTTCCAATTATATATTCTATTTTATGTTGTAGCATTTGAATTTTGACATTTGCCTTTTGAATAATGTTTATAAACAGATTCTATTTTTGGACAGTGGAAGCTTGGGAGGAAAGACAAAAAAATGTGGATATTGGCTAACTTTATTGTGCAAACTGTTAAGTGCTGACTTTTTAGTTTAAGTTAGATAATGACTTCTTTTGGAATAATATTTTGCAATATTTAGATATTTGCATAGATATTAGATAGTTTGGTTGGTGCTTGTGGTTAACTGCTAACATTTTTTGAATCTTTTTATCTTTTATCTTTTGATATCATGTAAGTATAGCAGCAGTTGAGTCTAGTGATCTTTTGTTCTAACAAAGTAACAAGTACTTTGAATATGTACTCTATAAGATAGTATATTTTTGGTGTAGCACTAGCACCAACCAAGTTAATGAAAAATGAAATTGAATGAATGATCCATCATAGATTGTTTATTATAAATTTATAGTGCTTATGTGTTTGTCATTTGTCATGCTCTATTTGTATCCATGGGAAGGAAAAGAGAGAAGTATTTAATATAATAATTGAAATTCTTGAGGAAGGGTTTGTTGTCTTGTTGAGTATTATGTGTTTATCGTCTCGAAATTGGATATTTTGTGTTGCATTGGTTTCCTCTAATTGTTTTGACTGCTCTAATATTTTTTTTTTGTTGTCTTGTTGAGCTTTATGTGCATATTATCTATAGAAATTGTATATTCTATTTTGTTTGTGTGCTGTAATTGACATGGTTTGTTTCTAATTTAACTGTTGATTTTGGGTTTATCAAGTGTTGGTGTATTTGGTTTCTTAGAATATGTGCCTTCTATTATAAATTAATTTTGAAGTTTCCTTTCTTCTGTCTTAGCTTTGCTCTTAATATTATGCTTGTATTAGTACGAATAAGTGACTATATGAATGTGTTGCAGAAAAAATCTTTGCTCATTCATTAAATTGATTTAAAGATTCTTTGTATGTGTTGATGACCACTTAAAACTTTCAAAACTATGATGAAAAATTAAGTGTGAAAGATATAAGAAAAAGGAGTCGCCACTCGTCCAAATGATAAGGTGTGACAAGTCACCTAAAAACAGGTCTACACAGAGATTTGGGTTCGGGGGTTTGGTTAGGAGTGAGAAAGGGCATACGCGCACCTCACAATCCTTTGTTTAAACACGGTTGCATACTTTAACATTGGGGTTTTAATTCAACTTATTCATTATATTTATGATTGAGTCTTAATAAGCAAACTTGAAAAAAAATAAACCAAATTGAAACATTTTTAAATTTTTGGACTGAAATAGACAAAATCAAAGACATGCATGCATCATAAGCACAAATAAGAATTAAATGGACTAATTTGATTAAATTAGAAAACATGGAGGAGTGATTTAAAAAGATTTGAAACCTTGGGACTAAATTACTTAATCATAAAAACTTTTGGATGAAATTGAGATAAGATAAAAGATAACTTTTACTTTGACCAAGATTAAAGTTAATTGAGAATTAAAATTAATTAATCAAGATAATTAATCTAATTAAATAATTAACTTAACATTAATCAATATTAATTAAAATTTATTAATCACATTTACTAATCATTAATTTAGATAACTAATTATCTAAAATCAAACTCAATAAATGTGATTAATTTATTTTAATTAAGATTAATTAATTTCATTCATCATAAATTAATAACTCATTTAATTAATTAATAATTATATACATATATTCTTTTTTACTTTTTAACCTTTTTAGTTTTTTTTTTTTTTTTATTGGATCGGGTTTATCCAAGCCAGAAACAAGATCCACTGCTCAAAATAAACCCAAACAGATCAAACATGGCAAAGGAAACTCGCAATTAAAGTTCATCACTCTTAAAAGAAAGAACACGTTTGTCATGAGAAAATCACATTCGCCAATCAGCAAAGAAAGAGCAAATTCATCAAAACACAATAGCTTAGTTAAACTTGGATTCTCATTCATTTTCAGATAAACATATACAAACTTAACATCATGAAAGCAGATAACAGAAACAGGAGGACAAAAGAAACAAACACGGCGGAGTTTTCTGGGTAACAGATCGGAGTCCGACCTGGCGGATCCCTCCCACGAGAGATCATCCCCTTTACTGCCTCCCAAAAGAACTCCTCTGTTGCAAGAAAATACCTAAGATGAAAACCAAAAAAAAATGCACAATCTTGCTCGGTGAATTCTGGAAGCTCAACGATCATCCTCTTCTAACTGCTGTTTCCAGCAACACCCAAAACTCAGACCAAGAGAACTTCTCCTGAAACGAAAAAACCCCTCCTCCAAATTCAGAAGTCCTTTCCTATTTATACAAATTCAAACAAAACCCTAAACTCCCCTCTTCTCTCTTCATCCAAACCCTTCAATTTTTCTTCTTTTTCCTTCCACCGTTGATCGGGTGAGGCCAAAACTGGCCCTACAGAACAGCCAAGAAAGCTGGAGTGTGATGTCATCCGGCAAGCAAGGCAAGGACATGGTGCGGGTTTGTCTCATGCTCGGTTGGCTGCAGGGACAAAGGCGCAGCAGCAGGGTCAACGCAGCAGGGGGCGCAGAGCAAGGGAATCTGGGCGTGATCGAGGCGCAGGCTCAGTGTAGCAAGGGCACAAGGGCGCAAAGGGGAAAGTGCAGGCGCAGCAAGGAGGGGCGCAAGCTCGGTGCAGGGCGGGGGCGTAGCAGGGGGCGTAGGGCGCAGTGGCACAGACGCAGGGCAATGGGATTTTTCTGTTTTTTGGTTTTCTGTTCTGCCGATCCTCTTCCTTCTTCTTGCTATGTTTCCATTTTAAAAGAGAGAGAAAGGATTAGGATTGACTTAGAAGATTCCATCCCCCCCCTTTTTTTTTTT